CTCACGCCCACCTATGCTGGTGCTGAGCGTGGCTCACAGGACACTGAACCATGGAGCAGATTTGGGCTCCCGGGACACCTGGGTCAGTAGATCCTTTGCGTATCTGTTTTTAAGTTCCAAAATGTACTGGAATATGAATCGGGGCAACATCACCTTCATGGTCCTTCTTTCCTTGAACCAAAAGTCCTTAAGCGCCGAATTGGAAATTTTGAAGGAAATCTTAAATCTAAGCATTTCTAGTCTCTTTTCGTAATTCCTCTATCTTTTACCAACGTGCTGACATACGCATCCATCTTTCCTATAATTTTCTCCCTGAGAATGGCGGTGAATTAAAATGGCAACATACCTACCCTGTTTTGTTTTAAATCACACTATTAGAAATATCTGGGTAAATAGGGATCTCACAGCAAGGTTATGAGAAACAGCATCAGAGTAAATGTCCTACAGGTCATGTCCTCCGTGTCATACTCTCAGTAGATAATTAATAAACACTAATAATTGCTGTTGTTATGTGCTGTCGAGTTGGTTCTGACTCATAGTGACGGTAATAATAGAATGTATTAATACATAATACTATGTGTAGAACTCATTTTTGTCTTTTTCAGGCTTTTTATTGAAGTATAATATACATGCAGGAAAGTGCACATCATACGTTTTCAGTTCAAAAAACTTTCACAAGCTGAATACACCCATATAACTGAAACCCAGATCAAGAAAGAGAAGAATCCCAGCCCCCTAAAAGCCCCCTCATGCTCTTTCCAGTCGCTGCCCCTTCCCCGGCTCTGCTTATCCTGACTTCTAACAGCACAGATGAGTTTTGACTTGTTTTTATACTTTATACAAATGAAATCATACAATAAATATTCTTTTCTATCTGGCTTCTTTCACTACACCTTGTTTGTGCAATCCATGCATGTTGTGTGTGATTGTCCATCGTTCCTTCTCACTGCTGCATAGTGTTCCACCGTGTGAAATATAATGTATATATAACCACAGTTTATCCATTCTACTGTGGGTAGGCATTTGGGTCCTTGCCAGGTTTCGGTATTACAGATATGAATGGTGCTGCTATAAATATTCTAGTACCTGTCTGTTGGAGAACATATGCACACAATTTCTGTTGCTATATGCAGGCCTAGAAATGGAATGACTGGGTCATAAGGTATGCTGTGAAGTGACTTCCTCGATTAGAGGCAATGCCGTGTGGAATAATATGATGGTGGACAAGGCATTCTGTAAGTCCATAGAAGGTAGTTTTGGCAAAAGCACTGCATGCAGGGAAGGTAAACCCGTATCCAGTGTAAATGTCTATTCCATTAAGAATGAAGTACTGCCCCTTCCATGACAGAAAGAGCCAAATTATATCACCTGCCACCAGGTTGCTGACTGATCATCCTGGGAAATGGTGCCATACTGGGGACTCAGTGTTAGTCTCTGCTGCGGGCAGATTGGGCACTCAGCAGTGCTTGTACTACCCAAGTCAGCCTTGGTGAATGGAAGTCCATGTTGTATAACCTCCATCCCTGCCACCATGGCCACTTTATTTACAAGCTGTTGGGCAATGACAGGAGTGGCTGGGGAAAGAGGCTGACTGGTATCCACAGAATGGGTCACCCTAGCCATTTGATAATTAAAGTCCTCCTCTTTTGAGGTTACCTTTTGTTGAGTATTCACACAGGACACAAATATCTTCATGTTTTTTGCCCATTCAATGAGGTCTATTCACATACCTTTTCCCCAGACCTCCTTGTTATCTGTTTCCAATCATGTTTTTCCAAGTCTCTGATTATTAAGCCAAACCATTGGCTGCAGCCCTTGAATGAGTAAAACTCATACCTCGGGCCATTTCTCCTTCCAAAGAAAATGAATAACCAGGTGCACTACTCCAGTTCTGCCACTGCGAGGCTTTCCCTACCACTGTCTTTCAGGGATGTCCCAGAAAGGGCCAGTAGTGCTGTACCCGTCCTATTTTAGGTGGTGCCTGAATATTGCACAGAACCATCTGCAAACCAGACCTGAGTTTTCTCTTCCTCAGTCAACTGACTACAGGGAATTCCCCATGAGGCCATACGTGCAGGCTGGGAGAGAGAAGGTAATGCAGCAGGAGTGGGGGCCATGGGCATTTGGGCTACTTCCTCATGTAACTTACTCGTGCCTTCAGGGCCTGCTTAAATCCAATCTCGTATATACCACTTCCATTTAATGAAGGAACGCTGCTGTGCAGGCCCAACCTTATGGTTTGGTGGGTCAGACAATACCCAATTCATGATGGGCAGCTCAGGTCACATGGTAACGTGGTGGACCATGCTTAAGCAAGCCAAAAGCTGTTTCTCAAAAGGAGAGTAGTTATCTGCGGACAATGACAGGGCCTCACTCCAAAATCCTGCGGGTCTGCTCTGTAATTCACATACGGGGGAATCTCTGTCTGCCACTGCCACTTCAAACACCATTGGATCTGCTGGATCATATGACACTAGCGGCAGCGATCAGGATTTTCTTGATGGTATACAATCAAAAAACGAGCCCTGGTGGAGCAGCGGTTAAGCACTCAACTGCTAACTGAAAGGTCGGTGGTTTGAATCCTCCAGCCACTTCACAGGAGAAAGATGTGACAGTCAGCTTTATAAAGATTACACTATATGGGATTAAATTGACAACAGCAACTGGGAGGATTGAATGGGAATCTTAGAGGGTAGTGAATTTATGTTAATGAGAGAGGAACAACTCAAAAAAGGAGGATGAGAATGGTTGCACAACTCGAAGAATGTAATCAATGTCACTAAATTGTACATGTAGAAACTGTTGAATTGGTGTATAATTTTAAAAAATTTAAAGAAAAAATAAAAAAAATTAAACTCAGCATTTTGCAGTGTTACACGTGACATGAATACATACGTTGGCTTGTCAGTGAAACCATTCTCTCCAAATGTTATTTTATACCCAATAAACTTTACAGAATATTAAAAAAAAAAAAAAAGATTATAGCATATGGGGCAGTTGCTACGAGTCGGAATTGACTCAAACGCTGCCCATGATGAACTGGATAAAACCAAACGCAAAGATGCAGAAATAAATTGGGTGCCGAGGCTGCTGTAACCGCAATTGTTGTCCATAACCCCCAACTTCAAAATTTTGCAAGCATATAACAGCAGCGGGGCCAGTGATGACATCCTAACCAGACTAGTCCCTGTTGATCTTGTCTCTGTCTTTGCTGCCAGGACTTCCTTATTTCCTGCCGATTTTCTGAGCCTGGTTCTGCCGACTTTCTGTTTATTATTTTAACTACCCAGTTTCCTCCCAAAAAATTCCTTATCTGCTAAAAACAAAACAAAACCAATCCCAAAACAACAAACCAGTCTCATTGTTTTGTTTTTATTGGCCTCTAAACTTAATATTAAAAATTTGAACTAATGTAAATGTTTAGTAATAAAACACAAGTTTTAATCTATTTTATATGTTGGGGTTCTGTGACAGATTTTGTTTGAAAAAGAACTCTAATCCTATTTATTTATAATATGAAAATGGTGCTGAATCGCCTCTCTGCCTCCTGTCTTAGCCTCCCTCCAGCCAACTCTCCACAAATCTAACCATCATCATGCCTCCAGCGAAAATCTTTTTAAAATGTCTATTAGATAGGCACTCCTGTAAGATAAGGTTCAAGTTCTTTGCATGACTACAAGGCCCCTCAAGATTTGCCACGGAGGTGCTCAATAAATGCTTGTTGAATAAATCAATAAAAATCAGAGAATAAACGGAACAACTAGAAAGGAAAGAATGAGATTGTTGAAACAATGTGAAGAACGTAAACCAGTGCCACTGACCAATATGTGTAGAAATTGTTGAATGGGAACCTGTTTTGCTGTATACACTTCCACTGAAAATATAATAAAATACTGTTTTAAAATAAATGTGATATAATCTACAGAAAAAAAAATCAGAGAATATAAGAACCCAACCATACTGTCCTACATCCTTCCTGAGGTTTCAACCACAATAATTATTTTTCCACGATGCTTACACAAAATTATCTCGTTTACATAGAGTGCTTTCCCCACATATCATCTTAGTGATATACGGTTTCCCCAAAAAAGATGAGTTTACGACAAATAAAAGGATATCTTTCTTTAGAAAGCAGGTATATGTAAGTTATCACCTCAGTAACCTTCAAAGTTGGAGAAAAGGTTTTCCTAAAGTCACGCATTTAAGAATGGCGGACTGGGGGGTTAGGAACAAAGGCTCCCGGCCAGGTGGGCGGTGCTTCTGGGCCTCGCGGCACCGCACGGGAGGGACTTGGGACATATTATTTTTTAAAATAAACTTTTAATTTTGGAATATCTGGGCCAATTTAAAACAGCAAACAAAACAGCGAGGAACTAAACACAAGGGTGCTCCCCGAATTTATGAGCTAACGCAAACTAGGAGACTTGATTTTCAATTCACGCTGCCTGTGCACTTTTCTGAGGACACCTCAGCGTAGAAGCGAAGACACCTTCTCACCAAGAACTAAGGGTTTTGCTTGAGCCCAGCCAGGGATGAAAGAGAGAGACCTGGGTTAGAGTTCTACCACTCCCCAGGGAGGTTAAGCTACTTGTTTTCAACCTTAATTTTCCTAATACTCAAACTGATATGACCTCCCCGGACCCTCCCCCGCCCCAGGATTATTAATGACTACATGAGATCAAATGTGACTCCCTGATCAGGTCACTCTTCCCGCCTCGCAACGGCAGGCCGCGGGGTTTTGTGCGCACGCGCCATAGCGCTCCGGGAGCGCTGGCGCACCCGCGTGGGGCCCGCG